GGTAGAGCGCTAGCCTTGAGCTGAAGAGCTGAGGGACGGTGCCCAGGCCCAGAGTTCAGGCCCCACGACCAGACCCCAAAAAACAAAACAAAAACACCAAAAAAAAAAACTGATTTATGCCACTCAGTTCCCAGTAGTAAACAACTATAATTTATTATTCTTCATAAAAGTAAATGAAATCTGCAAGGTAACACTCGTGGTTTTTTTTTTTTTGCCCACCATGGGGGCCTGAACTCTGAGCCTGGGTGCTGCCCCTAAGCTCTTCAGCTCACTGCTAGCATTCTGCCACTTGAGCCACAATGCCACTTCTGGCTTTTTCTGCTAATGTGGTGCTGAGGATCAAACCCAGGGCCTCATGCACGCAAGGCAAGCACTCTACCACTGAGCCACCTTCCCAGCACAACTAAGCCTCTTTGTGCTCTAGGCTAGCACTCTTCCACTTAAGTCACAGCACTGTTTCTGGCTTTTTTGAGTAGTTTATTGGAAATAAGAGTCTCACGGGGATTTTTCTGCCAGGGCTGGCTTCAAATCCTGATCCTCAGATCTCAGCCTCCTGAATAGCTAGAATAACATTCTTATTTTGAACCTTGCAGTAATATGTAACGATGAACCAAGGAAATACAAATAAGCAATGTTAAGAGGTTAGCCCTACAGTAGGTATCCTTGCTGGCTAACTGGGAGGTTTTTGGAAAAGAAGTATGTAGCAAGAACCACAATAATATCCATGTCCTTTCACTCAATGAAATAATTTTAAAGAACATCAAGAACACTATATAAACGTTTCATCTAAGCATTTGATATAAATGTGACTAGAATAGAGCAATGCATTAACTCATAGCAACACAAGAGTATCTCAAATAATTTTAAATAATGTATAGAAACTGGGCAAAATAAAAACTACTCATAAAAACTATTACAATAAAAACAATAATAAAAATACAAAATAGTATCTCTGTACTAATCGCACATTATGTATGCAACATGGAAGGTAAAGTGCCAAACTGAAAATATTTAGGAAGTAATTGTGCCATTACATGTTATGCTCTACTTTAAAGAAAAGGACATTGTTTCAATGGAAAGAATTTGAGGGAAATGTCGTAAAGCTGGGGGAGACACCCATTACAATGTTAGCTGACAGTAATTTGGGTGTGCATAGTCTCAATGTAGAATTTAGAATTTAAATCTTATTTTTAATTTCTTTTTTTTTTTGGTCGGTCGTGGGGCTTGAACTCTGGGCTCGGGCGCTGTCCATCAGCTCTTCAGCTCAAGGCGAGCACTCTACCACTTGAGCTACAGCGCCACTTCTGGTTTTCTAGTGGTTTATTGGAGATAGGAGTCTCACGGCCTTTCCTGCCCGGGCTGGCTTTGAACCGCGATCCTCAGATCTCAGCCTCCTGAGTAGCTAGGATTACAGGCGTGAGCCACCAGCGCCCGGCTCTTATTTTTAATTTCTAACTAGATAAGTATCACCTGGGCCCACATAAACACAACTCTGGGATTTTTACTTTTTTCAGTGCTAGGAATGAAACCCAAAACATCCAGATCTTTTTTTTTTGGGTCCGGTCATGGGGCCTAAACTCTGGGCCTGGGCGCTGTCCCTCAGCTCTTCAGCTCAAGGCTAGCGCTCTACCACTTGAGCCACAGTGCCACTTCAGGCTTTTTTCTTTTTGCTTATGTGGTGCTGAGGAATTGAACCCAGGGCCTCAGGCATGCAAGGCAAGTGCTCTACCACTGAGCCACCTTCCCAGCCCAACATCCAGATCTTTAGTCAACACTCTATCACCAAGCTAAATCCACGTAATCTTTAATAATTTTTAAAGGATTCATTCAGACACCGAAGGAATTAAGAATCATGGCCTTAAACCATCCTTGGGGAACAGGAACAACACTGGGGCTTGAACACTCCTAACAATTTTTGCTTTAGTTACTTTTCAGTTTTTCTCTTTTGACCTGGGGCCAGTTGGACAGCAAACCTTCTACCTCTGCCGCTGTATACCTGGGGATTAAAGCTGTTCCAATCATGCCCAGATTGTTTGCTGAAATGGGGTCTCAATAACTTTTTGTCAAGGCTGGCCTTGAACTGTAATCCACCTGATGTCCATCTCCCAAGTAGCCAGAATTACAGGTGTGAGGAACTGTGTCTGGCTGAAAATCTTCGAAGGCAAATGTAGACAGTTATTTCCCTGATATATGTGATTGTTTACATGAAAATTTATATCAACCCTACTATTGACCAACTATTTAGCATAAAATCATAATTTAACCTTTTTTCTGATAACCCAGAGTCACTATTAGAGTTAATTGTACCGTACTGTAGTGGTAGTTCTCACTAAAGCACTAACTAATGCATTTCTCTTCCAACCCTGGCTAGTCAAACACAAGACGGCATGCCTTTACTAGGCATGGTTTTACAGTGGCTGCTTTAAAGGTGTGGTTTTACAGGTGGCTAACTACTGTTAGAGTAGAAAGACCAGTAATGTCTACACAGGTGCTAAACTGAGGCTATTGTGCAGATTGCTATTTACTTTTACTGGTTTTGTGCCAAGTGTATTGTGTTAGGTGCTACTAAGAGCAACAGCCTATTATTGTTAGTCATTTGCCTTTCCCTATCATTCTTATCTATCATCAGACTGCAGGCCACCAAACGAATTTCTCCCCTTTGCTGTTGTGAACTTTATGGTTGAAAAGCTGGTGGAGCTGTTCAAGGCTAGAGAAGTTTTAGGCAGGGCCTATTTAAGACAGAATAGATCACTGAGGGCAGGATACACCTTTGAAAGATGCACCAAATCCCTGCGTCTTCCACAAAGTGAACAGCCTCATCGTCTATCTGCTCCCAGCACCAACATATCCTCAGAAATTTCTAGAAACATTAACAAAATCAATTTTTCCTCTGCTAAAATTATGCAGGTCAGATTTTGTCACAGTGATTAGAAAAGAAACTAATATAGGCTTCTTCCAAAACATTTAGAAGAAAATGTTTATGAAAAAGTCAACATTGGGGCTGGGAAGGTGACTCAGTGGTAGAATGCTTGCCATAAATGCATGAGGCCCTGGGTTCAATTCTTCAGCACTACATAAGAAGAAAAAGCCAGAAGTGGCGCTGTGGCTCAAGTGGTAGAGTGCTAGCCTTGAGCTGAAGAGCTGAGGGACAGCTCCCAGGCCACCACCACCACCACCACCACCAAAAAAAACAAACAACACCTAAGACTCATAACATCTTTATAATGAATTGTGATCTGATTTAAATAGAAAACTTCATCAACTGATACATAATACTATGACTAACTTGCCGCCTCTTATTAACATTTTATCCTATTTACCATCCCATCATGGATATAAACCCAGAAGAAACTTGAAAAAGTATTTATACAATTCTAGTCATAAAATATAATTCATTCCTTAACTAAATCCACATAAAAATGAAAATCACAAATTATACATTCAATCTTGGTCAATGTTTACTAAATAATTCAAATTTATAGTTTTAGCAACATACATTTCTGCTAATTATATACATATTCTGCCAACTATACAGCTGAGGAAATAAATAAGAAGCTGACAAAAAGGGTACACAATGCTGATAAAGTAGAACTAGGATTTAGACTGCATTTTTTCCTTAAATCAGAGTGCTCTTCCCAATGGTGTCAGAGCTGCCTAATCCCATCATATTTTTACTTGCAAATGGTGATTAGAAGGTAAGGAGGAGAGATTTCAGGTCTAAGAGCCCCAACAACTTCTAGCATACAATTCAATGTTTTTTTTTGTTTTTGTTTTTTTGGTCGGTTGTGGTGCTTGAACTCTAGGCTTGGGCACTGTTCCCTGTGCTCTTCAGCTCAAGGCAAGAGCTCTACTGCTTGAGCCACAGTGCTACTTCCGGTTTTCTAGTGGTTTATTGGAGATAAGAGTCTCACGCGGGCTGAGAAAGTGGCTCAGTGGTAGAGCGCTTGCCTTGCATGCCTGAGGCCCTGCCTGGGTTCAATTCCTCAGCACCACATAAGCAAAAAGAAAAAAGCCGGAAGTGGCGCTGTGGCTCAAGCGGTAGAACGCTAGCCTTGAGCTGAAGAGCTGAGGGACAGCGCCCAGGCCCAGAGTTCAGGCCCCATGACCGGACCCAAAAAAAAAAAGAGTCTCACGGACTTACCCACCTGGGCTGGCTTTGAACTGCAATCCTCAAATCTCAGCCTCCTGAGTAGCTAGGATTATAGGCATGAGCCACTGGTGCCCGGCTTCAATTCAATGTTTTACAGACTTTCTTAGTTTGACAATTTTGTGATTTTTCAAGGGAACAGTTATGCTATGGTGAGATATGAAATATCCTCCTAAAGCTAATGTGCTGAAAGCAGCAATGGTCAAAGATAGGAAGTGCCTTTGAAAGGTGATTGGATCACTGAGGCTCGACCATCATCCACGGATGAATTCCTAACTTTTAATGGACTACTAGATGATAATGGAAACTTGAGGAAGAAGGCTTTCTTGAAGAAGGTCTAAGGAGACAGGCCCTGAAGGGTACATTTTGCCCTCTGCTCCATCCTCTTCCTCTCTTTACTTGCTGGAAGCTATGAGGGAAGCAGCTTTGTTCCAAACACATGATCCCCTAACACCACAATCTCAATCACCACAGATCCAGAAGCAACAGGCCCAAGTGACAATGGATTGAAACTTCCGAGACTGTGAGACAAAATAAGCCTTTCCTTCCTTACTTGGGGATCTTGTCAAAGTGCTGGAAAGCTGACTAATACACTTACCTTCAACATTTTTTTATTTGCTGTGTTTTTGCCACACTCTCTCCTCAGTTGCTCACTCATTGCTTGCAGCTCTCGCCCAAAATGGATCATTCTTTCTATGGCAGCCTGACTTCCTCCACACAACTGGCGTCTTAACTGACTTGAATCAACTTCTGTAAGCAAACAAACAAGTATTTTATTATCTATGGACTGCAGAACAATGAAGAATATACCTATATTTCTATAATATTTTGTGTACTCAGTTATTTCATCCTATTAATTTCATCTAAATCATTATAGATTTTCTATATTTTGTTTTTGTTTTTTGAGATTGGTTCCTGATATATAGCAACAGGCCAGCCTGGAACAAGTTCCTACTGCCTCAGTCTGCTTAGTGCTGAAAATACAGACTTACACCATCACACCCAGCTACTACACACACAGATTTTTGAAATGTAACATGGAACTGTGTAGCTCAAAAGCATACTTGATCTGGGTCACAAGGGTGTAGGATCCTACTGCTGAAAAGTGAAAACCTTTTAATGTAATAATAGACCTACTATGTTAGTACATATTCACAATTCTCTAAAACTATATAAAAACAAATAGTTACTGCTTCTCAAACTGCTTTATCTGACATAGAACAAGAAATAAAATGTTCCTGAAAGCTTAGAGAAGCTAAATGATTCCAATAAAAGCACAGAAGATAACATATTTTGCTAAGTAAAAGAGCTACAGGATTAGAAAAATTACTTTATGAAGTACTTTTATACTATATACTCAGATTAACAATTAGTAACCAACAACACTATAGCTATATAAACCACAATAACATAAACCATAAATACAACAAGACTGATGATGCTAATGGCTAACACTAATAAGTACTTGGTACTATTCACTGTTCAGGTTAACACATTTGTAAAGTCAGTGATTTTACTCATTTTACAGATGAAGAAACTGAGGCACAGAGAAAAGTATATTGTCTAAGGTCAAACAGCTAGTAAGTGGTAGTGGCAGTTGCAGGAATAAAATCCAGGTAATATAGCTCTAGAATTCCTGTTTTTTTTTTGTCGTTTGGTTTTTGTTTTGTTTTGGTTTTGGTCATGGGGCTTGAACTCAGGGCCTGGGTGTTGTCTCTGAGCTTTTTCACTCAAGGCTAGCACTATACCATTTTGAGCAAAAGCACCACTTCCATTTTCTAGTGGTTAATTGGAAGTAAGAGTCTCAGACTTTCCTGCCTGAGCTGGCTTCAAACTGTGATCCTCAGATCTCAGCCTCTTGAGTAGCTAGGTAGAATTCCTGCTCTAAATCATGTTTAAACTAGTCTTTAGAAGCTGAGAGGTTGTTGGCTGACATCCATCCAATAAAGTAAAAGTAGTCTGCCTTTTGAACAATGAGTAACAGCTTTTAATCTCAAAATACTAACAAACCAAAAACAATTCATAAGCTTTAATAATTTTCACTCTCCATTTGATGGAAATGTTTGTAGACTGTTTCACCTTTGGGTATAAACTAACAAGAAAACAAAATTATACATGCAAATGTCCCCTGAATCACATTTTTTTGGGGGGAGGGGGTCCATTTGAGGGCTTGAACTCAGGGTCTGGGCGCTGTCCCTGAATCTCTTTGTGCTCAAGGCTAGCATTCTACCACTTGAACCACAAAGCCATTTCTGGTTTTTGAGTGGCTACTTGGAGACTCATTAGGACATTTTTGCCTGGGCTGGCTTCAGCCTTCAATCCTCAGATCTCAGCCTCGTGAGTGGCTAGGATTACAGGCCTGAGCCACCAGCACCAGGCCACATTTTTTTTTTTTGGAAGTACAGGAGGCCTAGCTAAGCATCACTTATGTGCCAGGCAGAGCACTATGAATGTCACAGATCTGCATTCAAAGAATTTAAGAAATTCAGTTTAATTAAAATCTGTAATATTATAGCTACCCGCTTGGTTCTACTGATTATATTAAAAAACATGTTAAGATTTCTGCTCTCTCCAACCTTAAACGTCCTAAGGGCTGAAATGCATAAAGCAGCACTCAAGTTGAACCTAAGCAAGAGAGCTGAACTAAGAAACTAGCACTTCACTTTTAGAGGAACTGAAAGTAATTCTACTCTCACTAGAAACACACTCCCAAAAAGCTTTAAATTTGGTTTATGCTCATCAGCTGTAAATCAGTACAAGTAAGAACATAACCTTGTAGTCATCATTTTTATTAAAAATGTAAGAAATATCACTGCAGACCCATTTCGGTGTCACAATCTTCCATTTCGTGGTCATGTTTAGAGCTACCATTTAGGAAACCATTGGATGAAGTTTCTCCAACTCCATTGGAGTAGTGATCTGTTTCCATGTCTACATCATTACTGAAAACGAAAAGACAAACCTAATTTTAGAAATATTATTATTTGTAGCTTAGTTTAAAACAAATCACTATGCAACTATGTAGCCTACAATAATAGCAAACTGCAAATAAGGTATTTAGTTAAATCTCAAACATTCTAAGCCAAACACATGGCTGATTTGTAACAAATTTGTACCCCAGAGATGAGGGAGAAAAATGTACAAGTGCAAAAGTGTAGTGATTTGTGCAACTTTACATAAATCATACTTTGGCACAATACTCTTAACTTTCCCCAATTCAGATCTATATAACAACTTCTTGCCTGAAACCCACCTACCCAAACCATTTCCCCTAGTGAAGCCCATGGCTCAACTGCTTCCCATCTTCTTATTCAATTCACTTCTAGCCTGCTTCTCAATCAATTCAGAACATATGGGCCATTGTCCTTACTACTCAAAAACATGTTCTCTCAAAGGTAAATGAAACTTTCAAAACAAAACAAAACAAAAAAATCTCACTTGCTCCCACCTTTTCAGTTCTCAGCACTATTTCTGTCTTGCAGGCTACCTTACAGGCACCTGTTCAAAGTGCTACTGAATCTTCACATTGATTTGTGTGAAGATGGGGGTCCCACTACTGCCCTAGCTGGCCTTAAATGTATAATCCTCCTCCTATTCTGATACTCAAGCTCCACATCTGTAAAATTATTGAAACTGGAATTGCAGGTGGGCACTACCACACCTTGTTCAAGTCTTCATTTTTAAACAACTGTCATAGATGGTTTCCAGACAGTTTCCAATTTTCACTCATCCCACCTGAATAGTTTTGTGTCAGTAACAGTATCTGGATATACTAAAGTTATCAATATATGTCCTTTCAGATACATCCACTCTTTTACAAACAACAATATCTAATCTTTTAAGAGTTTTATGAAGAACTGGTGAACAGTTAGTTACACATCCCAAAGGTAATTTCCTATTCCAGCATGATGGAGATCAGACCAATGGTAATCACAGGGACGTATATAACATGTGGTAGGGATGTAAGTTAAGGAAAAAAGAAGAGGTGGCATCTGAACTTGAGTTTTGCCCTGAACGGAAGTTACCATGGAGGTGAGGGAGGATAGGGAAAGTCCATTTCTAATAGTGGGAGGTATGAGGGAAAAATCCTGAGTTTGCAAGGCAGAAATTCTAGAACGTAGTCTCAGCTCTGCAACTTACTACCTACTAATTGTTGACTGTTTTTAAAATGTCCTTTACTTTTCTGATATTCAGCTCTACATCTGTAAAATGGTTTAAACAGTCAATACCACCTTTACAATACTGTTGAAAGAAAATTATTAACAATTACAAAATAACTTGTTGAACATATGAAGCATTTTACACATTGATTTGTTGCTTTACCTTTTCTACTAAACAGAAAGAAAGATTCTGTGTCACCCACCCTTCCAAAAAAGCTGAACTCACGTAATAACAGGTTTAGTTAGCAGCTTCTTGCTCTAAGGACAGTATGTAAGAGGAAAACTTGTACACTAATTGTACTCTTACCATCAGGCAAAGGCAGAACCTTCTACAACTTAGACTAATGAATCAACTGTTAACATTTTAAAACATCCACTCATAATTTCTTTACCACAATATTTTTCTATTATGTCAGCTCTACAGTGAAAAGCCACTCCAATCTCCCTAGTCCTTTTTCCGATGTTCTTATATCATGTTTATAGTCCTCCTTTATAACATGTATTGCATAAACCCAGTGTTTTATAGAAACAGTTGTCATGTGTGATAAATGACCCAGATATTTTGGCTCATCTTTCCAAAGATTCAAATACTTTTTTGTGTGTATTACACAGACTCCTTTCTGCAGAACTTCATTTCAAAGTAAGATTCCATGCTAAACATTAGGTTTTGAGTAAGATGGATTGATAAACATCTCCAAAAATGGCATGTGACCAACTGGTTCAAGTTTTAGGACTAAACCAGTATCCAACTGACTCAGATGTTAGACAACTGGTAGGTGGAATACACAAGAACTTGTTCTTGCACACTAATTCAAATGCTTTTATGTTGTAGACTTTAAGGATTCATGAATACCAAGCCTGAGCATGTCAAGGCTCATAGTATGCTGATAAGACACATCTCCTCTCAAACTCCACAGCTAGCAGAATGTTTGGTACCCAATAGGTCCTCAATCAACTTGTTAATGTCTACTACAAATGACTGAACTATGTACTCAAGCTTCACAAAGATAGGATTTTTAAAAAGATACTTTGTAGAGTTAGTTATTTTAAACTTAGAAAACATTCTATACAATGACACCCACACTAAGGTATTCTATCTAGATCTGCAGCTGGCAGGAAGATGATGCACAAAGCCTGCTCCTTAGAGGGTTCTAAGGAAAGAGGGGAAAAACCTGAGTCCAAGTGCATACTAGGAACTTAAAACACATTGAAAACTCAATTCACTATAGCTTTTATTTTTGGGAATTTGAGAACTTCCAGATCCCCACTGATGTGTGGGTGATATAAGTTCTTCTACAATCAACAAAGAAATTACCTGCTAAGATGGTTGCTTATACTAATGAAAACTAGGGAAACCACTTACCTGGTGAAGTTATTAACTTGCTGTGACCTTGACATATTTATACTGTTCAGTTCTGGTACATTCAAATTGGGTGACTGATGCTTACTATGGCAATATGATTGATGTGCTTTATTTGATATGACACCATTACTACAACTTTCAAAACCTGGAGGGGAGGACGGGGAAAGATACCACCACATGAATCAAAACAAAACAATGACTTATTGGTCATGATGTAAATAATAACCCCATATTTTGACTTTAGATTTAAGACTTTTTAAAGAAAACTGGCAAACTAAATAGTAAAAAATCTGCTAGCCTCTTTCAGAGTATTATAATCTCCTCTAACATTTCACTTGTGATAGATTTCATTTCATCCTCACCCCCCCCCATAAGGAGATAGCATTCATATACAGCTTAATAGCAGGATATATTCTGAGAAGTATGTCTTTGAGGGAATTATTGCGTGAACATCATAGAGTACACAAATTTAGATGGTGTAGCCTGCTATTTATTATATAGTGACCATTCATTTTACCTGCTCACATTGTTTATGGAGATCTACTAGTGAACTATTAAAGCAGCTGTTAAGTTACTTCTTGGGATAACATGAATCTGAATCTACAGATTTTCATCTTGAGATGGAGTATACACAACGGTTACACAGCTACACAGAGAATGTCTACTTGTTTTGTGGCTCAAAATTATTAAAGACAAACTGGGCGCCAGTGGCTCATGCCTGTAATCCTAGCTATTCATGAGGCTAAGACCTGAAGATCAAGGTTCAAACCCAGCCTGGGCAAGAATCTCCATGAGACTCTTATCTCCAATTAACCACCTGAAAACCAGAAGTGGTGCTGTGGCTCAAGTGGTAGAGTGCTAGTGTTGAGCTGAAGAGCTGAGGGACAGCACCCAGGCCTAGAGTTCAAGCTCCACAACCAACTGCCCGCCCACCCCCTCCTGCCCCCACCCCAAAAATTATTAAAGACAAAAGTCTAGGGCATAAGACTGAATTCTCACCAGAAAAATGTGCAGTGCTTCCTTTTCCTGATGCTAAGGTATGGATATTCATGCCATGACTAGGGCTCATACTTGGACTACTGAAGGGTCGAGGACTAACAGGGTAACTGTCTTGAGATTTTGGGCTTCGACCTCCCAAACATCGTACTTCACTATCTGTACCATTCACCATTTCTATAAACTGACGAACTCTGAAAGAAAAAAGAAAATTTTACTTAGACATATTTTTAATAGCTTTGGGTTTATATAATAGCATTTTTCAAAGCTTACATTTTTCAATAGGTCTGGTGTTGGCAAAAAAAATTAGAGGGCTGGGAAGGTGGCTCAGTGGTAGAGCGCTTGCCTTGCATGCCTGAGGCCCTGGGTTCGATTCCTCAGCACCACATAAGCAAAAAGAAAAAAGCCGGAAGTGGCACTGTGGCTCAAGTGGTAGAGTGCTAGTCTTGAGCTGAAGAGCTGAAGGACAGTGCCCAGGCCCAGAGTTCAAGCCCCATGACCGACAAAAAAAACCAAAAAACAAAAAAAAATTAGAGTATAAGGTAATATTATTCGCTTTAACTAAGACTAAAAATGAAAATCTGCATTGAGAATGTTATTTAAGTGGTACAGCACCTGCTTGGTAAGCTTAAGGCCCTGAGTTCAAACCCCACTGCTGCCACCCTCACCCCCCACACCAAACAAGGTCATGAAAATCTATAAATAGTTCTAAGTAAAATTAAGGTGGACTCCATTTTTAATCCCCCCTAAAAAAATCAATATTTTCAGCTTGTAGCAAATCAAACAGTACCTAAGAATGAGATTTTAAACACATGATAGATATAAGAACAGGTTTTTCCATCCTTCCTCACCCTGTCCCACTTCCTATGTCCTAGCCAAAACAGGCTTCAGTTAAAGCACTTGAGAGCCATGCTCCCAATACAAAAGGTTCAAGTGTTAGGCTCAATTGCTTTTTTTAAAAAATAACAGCATCATAAGGTCAATTTAAAAATGCCACATTAGGATGGCTATTATCTTAAAAAGCAGAAAACAACTGGTAGGCATGTAAAGAAATTGGCCTTCTGGTGCACTACTGGTGGGAATATGAAATGATGGTAATTGCTGAGGTAAACAGTATGGCGGTTCTTCTAAGTAATAAACACAGAATTACCATGTAATCCCCTTCTAGGTAAATAACCAAAAGAAATGAGGCACCACTGGCTCATGCCTATTCCTAAGCTTCTCAGGAGACTGAGATCTAAGAATCATAGTTCGAAGCCAGTCCAGGCAGGAAAAAGTCTGCAAGACTCTTATCTCCAATTACTCATACCATCAAAGAGCCAGAAGTGGAGCTGTGGCTCAAGTGGTAGAGTGCTATCCTTGAGAACAAAAGCTCAGAGACAGCACCTAGGCCTTGAGTTCAAACCCCAGGACTAGCACAAAAAAAAGAAAAAGAAAAAGAAACCGATGAGCAGATAGCTGTACATCAATATTCACAGCAGAATTATTTCTAAGAACCAATAATAGAAGTAACCCAATGTCATGAACGGATCCACAAAATGTAGCATGTATCTATTATGAAGTAGGTGTTCAGCCTCTGAAAGGAGGAAGTTCTGGCACATGCTGCAATATGCCATGTGCTGCCAGTCATGAAAAGATCAGTGCTATATATAATTGCCTGTAGTGGAGGGAGGGAATGGGCGAGGGTCAGGGAAATAAGGGGCAGCCTCGGTTTGGGAAGATGCAATGTTTGTAATGCATAGTAGGGAAGTAACAAAGTGTGAATATGAACCAAACTCTAGACTTGACAATGGTTAAAATGATAAATTTTACCGGGTGCCGGTGGCTCACACCTGTAATCCTAGCTACTCAGAAGGCTGAGATCTGAGCCAGCCTGGGCAGGAAAAGTCCGTTAGACTATCTCCAATAAACCACTAGAAAAAAAACCAGAAGTGGCACTGTGGCTCAAGTGGTAGAGCACTTGCCTTGAGCTGAAGAGGTGAGGGACAGCACCCAGGCCCAGAGTTCAAGCCCCACAACCGACCAAAAAAAAAGGTAAATTTTATGTGTACAGTTACCCTTGCTATATTGCAGCTACACTGTACTGCAAGTTTTTTAAAAAATCATAAATAGTGATCTCTCACCTATCACAAGAGTTAGGTTCCAGAGACCCCTGCGATAGGTGAAAATTCACAGAGTGGCAATAAGTGAACCTACCATATATGTAATGCTGCTACTTTGCAGATTTTCACCTATCGCAGGGGTCTCTGGAATATATCTCCTGCAATAGGTGAGGGATCACTGATCATTATACTCTAAATTTTTAAGTATGCTAAAGCAGAATTACTATAGAATACTGTTCAGGAGTAGAAATAAAATCCTCACCTTGTAAGTTTTCTCATTTTTTATTTTGGTGCTGGGGATGGAACCCAAGGGCCTTCCTTATACACGCAAAAAGCATATGCTCGCCGGGTGCTGGTGGCTCACGCCTGTAATCCTAGCTACTCAGGAGGCTGAGATCTGAGGATCGCGGTTCAAAGCCAACCCGGGCAGGAGAGACCGTGAGACTCCTATCTCCAATAAACCACCAGAAAACCCGAAGTGGCGCTGTAGCTCATGTGGTAGAGCGCTCGCCTTGAGCTGAAGAGCTGAGGGACAGTGCCCAGGCCCAGAGTTCAGGCCCCACAACCGGACCAAAAAAAAGTGTATGAAAATAAATTTCGGGCTGGGAAGTTGGCTCAGTGGTAGAGCACTTGCCTTGCATGCCTGAAGCCCTGGGTTCGATTCCTCAGCACCACATAAGCAAAAAGAAAAAAGCCGGAAGTGGCGCTGTGGCTCAAGTGGTAGAGCACTAGCCTTGAGCTGAAGAGCTGAGGGACAGCGCCCAGGCCCAGAGTTCAGGCCCCACAACCGGACCAAAAAAAAAGTGTATGAAAATAAATTTCGGGCTGGGAAGTTGGCTCAGTGGTAGAGCACTTGCCTTGCATGCCTGAAGCCCTGGGTTCGATTCCTCAGCACCACATAAGCAAAAAGAAAAAACCCAGAAGTGGCGCTGTGGCTCAAGTGGTAGAGCACTAGCCTTGAGCTGAAGAGCTGAGGGACAGCGCCCAGGCCCAGAGTTCAGGCCCCAATACTGGCAAAAAAGAAAGAAAGAAAGAAAGAAAGAAAGAAAGAAAGAAAGAAAGAAAGAAGGAAGGAAGGAAGGAAGGAAGGAAAGGAAGGAAGGAAGGAAGGAAGGAAGGAAGGAAGGAAAGAAAGAACTTTCACAAACGAACATACAAGTAATACAAGAAAAACACCTAAATAGTATTGATGTTTCAAACAACTGGGGATGTGGTTCAGTGGCAGAGCACTTGCCTAAGCATATAGAAGGCCCTGAATTCAATCCCCAGCACTAGAAAATCAATGAATGAACACACAAAGTTTGGAACAGTAAATTCAGGAGACTACATTTTTTTAAAGAAAAAATATTTGAGGCTGGGCGCTGATGGCTCACACCTGTAATCAGAAGGCTGATATCTAAGAATTGTAGTTCAAAGCCAGTCTGGGCAGCAAACTGTGAGACTCTTTATCTCCAATTAACCACCAGAAAACTCCAGAAGTGGTACTGTGGCTCAAGTGGCAGAGTACTCACCTTGAGCTTCTTAAGTTCAGGGAAAATACCTAGGCCCAGAGTTCAAGCCCCAGGACTAGGGAGGGAGGGAGAGAAGATGGGAGGGAAGGAGGGAGGGAAGGAGGGAAGACGGGGCAGGGGTTGAATTGTCTTACTGAACTTTTTGATCTTGTTGCCTTTTCAAAAGATCTAAATTTAACAAATAGTAATTGAGTGTTCACTGTGTGTCAAACATTTGCTGAATTAGAAACGAGGATAAAAAATGAATACCTTTTGCTAGAGAGTACTAACACCAAGAAAAAGGCAAACACAATTTGTTACATACAAATATAATCACAGTCACTATAGCAATTTCACCTATAAAAAAGATTGCTTTCAACTCTATGATTTAGTCCACTTGTTTGGCTTTCATCCCTGTTCTCTATCACCCATCAAGTCATACTTGCCCTGATGATTACCAGGTCTTACTTTAGCAGGTGGACCAGTTAGTTTTCAGGCTCACTTGTCTTGGTTAAAACAGGGCATACAAGAGAATGATAAAAGGGTGACAGTGATCAAATGCATTGTATTCATAAACTGCTTTGTAGAATCGTAACACCTTTATACAACTGCTTAAAAGACAATAAAAATGTATTTAGGGCTGGAAGGTGGCTCAGTGGTAGAGCGCTTGCCTTGCATGCCTGAGGCCCTGGGTTCAATTCCTCAGCACCACATAAGCAAAAAGAAAAAAGCCGGAAGTGGCGCTGTGGCTCAAGTGGTAGAGCACTAGCCTTGAGCTGAAGAGCTGAGGGACAGCGCCCAGGCCCAGAGTTCAGGCCCCACAACCGGACCAAAAAAAAAGTGTATGAAAATAAATTTCGGGCTGGGAAGTTGGCTCAGTGGTAGAGCACTTGCCTTGCATGCCTGAAGCCCTGGGTTCGATTCCTCAGCACCACATAAGCAAAAAGAAAAAACCCAGAAGTGGCGCTGTGACTCAAGTGGTAGAGCGCTAGCCTTGAGCTGAAGGACAGTGCCTAGGCCCAGAGTTCAGGCCCCACGAACGGACCCCCCCCAAAAAAAAGAAAATAAATTTCACAGATACTCAGAAATGATTTGAATGATATTATTTGAAAAAATTGGAGTTATTGTAATTTGCTTTATTACTATTATTACTATCAATTAATTACAAGGCGTTCCATTTTAATATGCCCATGTATGAATACAATGCATCTTGATTTGTCATCCTACCTATTATTTTCTCCTTTCACTTCCCTTCCCAAACCAGACTCATAGTTTCCTTGTTCCATTTTCACATATGTACTCAGATTATTCTGATTGTATTTGACCTCCTTCCCTATTTATCCATCCCCTTTCCCATTAGTACCCACATCCTAGTCTAAACATGTTTAAATTATTTAAAGAAAATAAAATTTCGAATTGTTACAGTAACCAAACCTATAATTTGAGAACAAGCATTAGCCACATACACCGTGTCCTTACTTTGTCTATTCTTGATAGAAGCTAATTCTTCTAAAACAGTCTGGTCTGTAGATCTGGCAAAGGCCTCTGCTGTGGCACAGTACCCATGGTGAACTAAATACGATGAAACCATTCTTAAAATTAAAAGAAGAAACACATGTTTTAGTCAAGAGAACATAAGCTTGACACTACAATTTTTGTCAGTAAGGCTTCTTTGTATCACAAATCTATTCTCTTAAAAAATTATGGCTTTAGTAACTTAAATTCTTAAGCTGAAAAATGTTTTGTTCTAGTAATGTATATTCCAAAATATTAACTGCAAATATACACACTACTCTAAATAAATATTCCAGTAAAATCAAGGGCATTAAACAACACTTTCTTTTATTCTTGGTTCTCCTATTATCTCACACACAGGCCCCTTCCTATTAATTTTCCCATTATTCAATCCTGGTAACCATAACCCATATTTCACTTTAATTACATGAAATGCAAGTAATATGTTGGCATTGTGTAAGATAAAACATTTTTTAAATAACTGATCAACTCTCATTGTTCCAGAGTTCAATCACTTTCCTTGCCTTCTTGTTAAATGGCATCAAAGGTGTGAAAAGAAAATAGTAAACTCAGAGAGAGAACTGTCCTATCAGAGAGGGATCAGTCTTCCAATCCAAATCAATTGCTATTGTTTTAATCAGGAAACTAATTAGTCATGACTTACAATCTTCTAAGAGAACAAGTATATGTATTTATTTGTTTTTGCTGGTCCTAGGGCTTGAACTCAGTGTCTGAGTGCTGTCTCTGAATTTCTTCAGGAAAGCACTCTACCACTTTTGCCACAGACAGCTCCACTTGTGGCTTTTTGGTAGTTTGCTGAAGATATATCTTATCTACACATTTTCCTGTCTGAGCTGAGTTCACTTTGATCCTCAGATAAGATTTTAGCCTCCCGAATAGCTAGGATTACAAGTGTGAGCCACTGGTGCCCAGTGAACAAGTATATTTTTAAAGACATTTTCAAGTGTTTAAACCATGTACTTACATCTATCCACTAAACACATTTAGAAAAACTAGTAATCTAACAACATTGCCCTCACAAATTCATGATGTCCAAATATTTCACTGTTAAATTCTGCCTCTGCCTGATACTACTAGAGCCACTTAGATAATGCTGTGAGCCAACTCACTAAAGGGACAACTAGGGGAAAGAAGGCAATGACACTGCTTTCTAAGAAAAATGTTTTCATCGTTTTCCTTTATTCTGTGCAGGTCCTGGGGCTTGAATTCAGGCTCTAGATAGTGTCCCAGACCTTCTTTTGTTCAAGGCTAATGCTCTTCCACTTGGCTTTTTTAGTAGTTTATCGGAGAAAATACTCTCCAGGCTTTCCTGCCCTTCAAATCATGATCCTCAGATCTAAGCCTCTGGAGTAGTTAGGATTATAGGTGTGGTCCTCGCAGCTTTCATTTCTATTGTTCGAATTAAAACAAAGGAAACCTTTTAGAATGGGCCTCCTGAGCATTCATAGTAGCAATTTAAAAAAAAGGAAGAAGGTAAGTTGCTGGTTATAGAAATAAGACTACAGTATTTCTTCTATCACTATCCTGTTTCTGTGGAAATCACTTTTAGACCATTAATAAAATGCTGCAATCCATTCTAGCACATGGAGATTATTAAATCATAGTTAGATATTTCTATTTAGAATAATATAAATATTTCACAAAAAAGGTATTCCAATAACCTGAAAATAATTAGTATTGTTAGAGTAAACCAAATAGAAAAATTTAATGGAATTATGAAATAAAAAATGTATACATCATGTATATACTCTAGTACATGTGGATGGTAAGAGTAGGAATCAAACAATAGTTCTTTTCCTCCGTCTGAACTGCTGCTGAACACAGCCAAGCATAGTCCCCAAAAGCAGAGATCCTGAATTATAAAATATAAAACCTATCAAAATCACTATGGAAGGGCAAAAAATGAACTACCCTAGCCTATGTGACCAAGTGTACCTTTTTTTCCTTCATCAAATTAAGACAGAAACATGTTTTATTAAAAAAACTCAATGTGTGAGAGTTATGTCTGAAGTTCTCCACTCTTACTTTTGTATCATGGTCTGCCATTCTCCTTCCCGGTCTCCAATAGGAAAGCGGTCTATCTGTGCCTGTATTTTGGTTCTCCATTCACGCATGTAGTCTTCTATATCAAATACAAAGGGATGTTGCCCAAAATTGGCATCAACCACTTCTCCAGGTGTCTGAAGCCCCACAGTAGGATACAAATTTGGCTGTAAGACAACATATTGCATTGAACATCTAACCATTTTATAAGAAAGACTTCTTTATCCTCTTACTACTATCTTCGAAAGAACAGAACTATAAATTTATTTCATGATCATTTAAAACCCTCAACCAAAATATTGATAGAAGAAAACAAATGATATGAAGTACATGTTTGATAAAATAAATTTTTTTCTCTATTTTTTTGGGTCTGGTCTTGGGGCCTGAACTCTGGGCCTGGGCACTGTCCCTCAGCTCTTCAGCTCAAGGCTAGCGCTCTACCACTTGAGCCACAGCGCCACTTTTCGGCTTTTTTCTTTTTGCTTATGTGGTGCTGAGCAATCGAACCCAGGGCCTCAAGGCATGCAAGGCAAGTGCTCTACCACTGAGCCACCTTCCCAGCCCATAAAATAAATTTTCAATGAAGCTATTTCACTTTCTCACAGACTACCTTATATTATAACTATGGTGACATTTATATCCACATGACATATTTCTAATATGTAAAAATGTAATTCTTCCCCTTAAGAATATACATATACAGTAGTTACAGAGATCCAAAAATAAATACTTAATTTGGATTTAGCTCAGCTTTATGTGTATGTGTGTCAATAGAGCTTCCTAGGGTGTCATTGCTTAGCTTTTTATTCAAGGCTGGCATGCTACTTCTTGAGCCACATCTCTATCTCCAAATTTTGGTGGTTAATTAGGGGTAAGAGTCAGATTCTTACCTCTCACAGACTTTTCTGTACAGGCTAGCTTCAGACTGTGATCCTCTGATCTCAAGGATTGTAATCGTGAGTCACTAGAGCCTGACAGGCTCAGCTTTTATATAAAACACAGTGCACACTTAAAGTTAGTTCTCCTCTCATAAAAGTAGATTCCTTTCCACAAGCAGGTACTAATTTAAATATACTACTTTCATTTACCTGTATATTTGGGAGAGCTGTTTATATGAAGGAGATAGGAACTACATACAGGACACAATGCCAGTGCCATAGTGGGGATCCTCCCAATAAAAACAAAAACTCTATCTAATCTGGGGATTAGCTCAAGTAGTGCCTGCTTAGCAACACTGAGTGCAACCCCAGTACCACCCACACCCACACCAAAGTTGGGGGTGGGGGGAGTGTATGCACTTCAAAGGAAAAACAATACAATTGAACATTCAAACTTAGAAATGCTTAATATATACTCCAAGACCTCAAAGCTAAACAATCAATATCCAAAGAATCCTTGTGGCTCTATCGCTAATTAAATGTTAAGTCTAAAAGGTAAGTATTACTGTTTACTAAATGCCAAGATCTAATTATTTATAATCAATAATCTTGTGAGGTACTATTATTAATATACAAAGAGAAAGAAATTTTGAGAATAAGGGATTAAATAACTTGCCCATGGTTATTCTAACTGGCAGAGACAGAATTAGAAGAAAAATCTGTTTTCAGATGCAAGCTCAATTTTTGTTCCTAAAACCCCAAGTCCTACCATATCTTCAGTCTTTGTATTTGCAGCTTATTTCTTTGCTTTAACAAGGTATAAAGATTAAAAGAGGATAACTTGTACCTGAATGAGATATTAGATTTCACAGCAGAAAAGAGGATATATCTAAAAACAACTGTTAAACAACACAAATGAGAAATAAATCAAACTAGAAATAAAATAAATAACTGAGCAGTGGGTTAATCCTAGCTACTACATCCTAGCTATTTAGGAGGAGGGATCAGGATCAAGGGTTAAGGCCAACCTGGGCAAAATCGAAGCTCTAACGACCCCAACCAATAGCTGCACACTGTGGCACATCTGTCATCTCCAACACTGAAAAGCACAAGTAGTAGGTTCATAGCCCAGGCTAGCCAGAACATAAAAGGAGACTCTACTTAGAAAATAGCAACACAATGCCGGGCGCTGGTGGCTCACGCCTGTAATCCTAGCTACTCAGGAGGCTGAGATCTGAGGATCGTGGTTCAAAGCCAGCCCGGGCAGGAGAGACCGTGAGACTCCTATCTCCAATAAACCACCAGAAAACCGGAAGTGGCGCTGTAGCTCAAGTGGTAGAGCGCTTGCCTTGAGCTGAAGAGCTGAGGGACATTGCCCAGGCCCAGAGTTCAAGCCCCACAACCGAAAAAAAAAGAAAAAAGAAAATAGCAACACAAACCATAGCTAGACGTGTGGCTCAATGGTAGAGCACTTGCCTTCCTACTACTGACAAAAGCAAAACACAAAACAAATACTGTCAAAATATAAAAAATGAGAAGCTCCAGTGGATTTTGGAAATAAAAGGTAAAGCAATGTATGAAAACAGACTGATTATCAGTAATCAGCAGAAATAAGGTCAAAGAATTTTATGACAAAGCAGATAAAATACTTAAGTTGCTTTTAGTACAATCTCTCCATTTCACTAAGGTAAAAACTGAGACCCACAGTTTCCATTAAAACTCACTGCAAGGGCTGGGCAGGTGGCTCAGTGGTAGAGCACTTGCCTTGCATGCATGAGGCCCTGGGTTCGATTCCTCAGCACCACATAGGCAAAAAGAAAAAAAAAGCCGGAAGTGGCATTGTGGCTCAAGTGGTAGAGCGCTAGCTTTGAGCTGAAGAGCTGAGTGACAGTTCCCAGGCCCAGAGTTCAGGCCCCATGACCGGACCCCCCCCCCAAAAAAAAACTCACTGCAAAATTACAAGATAGTTATTTTAAGTATGGAAGGACAAAGACAATAAAGAAATCAATAGAAAGTTCTATTCAGTCAACACAGAAGACAAAAATTACTAGTTCAACCAGTTGTGAGATAGATTATGGTAGAGCACCTGCCTAGTGCACCATGAGCAAGGTTCCTGGGTCAATCTGTAGTGCACACACACCTTAAAACTCCCATGGAAATGTAGACAACTTGCACAAAAAAGGAAAGATGACACAAACACAGGGAAAGATATTTCGCCCCATTTTTTTAGAATGTAAATGAAAAACAAGAAGCTTTTGTTGTTTTATTTTCTGTTGATGCTGGGATTTGAACTCAGGCCTCTGTGCTTGCAGGTAGGCATTCTGTCACTTAAGACTCACCCAGGGCCTCGGCCCTTTTTGCTTTATTTTTCAGATAAGATGGGGATGACTCAGATTCTACTACTCATCCCTCCTGTGCAGCTGAGATCATGGTCTGACAGATTTTTCATATTCTAACCATTTTGCATAAATGAATTACACAACATGAGGTTTCATGTGATAGCATGTATCTAGATTATAGAAATATAGGAAATAATGGTTTTCCCATAAACTAGAGATCATTGTTCTTGCCTATTAGTTTAAATCTTAATGAAAAGAACAAGAAAACATTTCTGCACTAAAAATATCTCCAATCTAGACACTGTTCAAAAAGTGATATAAGAATTCATAATTAGCAATATAATTTTGTTATATTTAAAATATATCTTCTAAAGAAAATGAAAGCGAGTAATTCATTTATGAATTATTTCCAGAGTGGAATAGCATAATTTAAATGTGAATATTACTGTAACAGAAGGAATATATTAATGGATCCCAAATGGAATTGGCTTAATAAAGTATTTCTCAAACCAGTGAGGTGAGTTGGGAGGGGAAAAAATCTATTTTTAAAATAAGGATTTTAGAGCTGTAAAAACACACTATGAATTGCACCTGAATGGTGCAATACAATCTAAGTAAACTGGCTTTCCTGCAACTATACCTGCCCAGGATTCAATGCTTATGCGAAGTCTCCAGTACAGAACACACAGATACTTCCTTGGTGACTCCTTTGAGGGAAAAAGATGTAGCATGTGGAAGTCCCAGAAGATATTATAGTCATATAAATGAAAAACTAGAAATACTATAAAAGGAAATCTATAACCACCTCTATAACCACTTGAGCCATCATAAGAACAAACTTGCAAATCACCATGGATCATCATAGACAAGAAAAACAACAGATGATTCAAAGGTGGGCCAGAAAATAACTAGAAGCTGGAGCAGAAACAGACATGTTTACAACCAGACCTTTCCCAAATGATCATTGCTCTATCTACCAAAAGGGCAATGCATAATAACAGTAACATGGCTCATTCTGACAAGTCAGTTAGCCATGGTTAGTACCAAGAAAAAGAGAGAGAGAAAGAAGGAGAGAGGAGGGGGGGGCTGAAGTCCTGCAGCCAACTCAATTTTTTTTAATCAAAATCTGTTTGATAGTACAATATACCTACCAATTTACCTTCGAGCTTCTACACTTATTAGTCTGCTACCCTCATCACAAATGCTCTACTCAAAAGAAGACTGTCAGCTAGGAACTTACGTTTTCTTCCAAAAGATGATGATTATTTGTTCCATCATTGCTTAGAGCTTATTAAATAATGTCTTGGTGAACACTTCTGATCTATGTACTCTAAACTTTCTAAGTTATTTTCCAATATAATTTTGATTTTCTTAAGGAGTACCAGTATATAAATGTGTTGTCTACTCTCAGAAACATCTCAGAAAACATCTTAGAAACTGAAATGCATTATATAATCAATGGCACTTATATCATATGGTTCAGGTAGCTGTGCAGAACTAACTCGCTAAGACTTTGGTACTTTGCTCTTTTCTAATGGAACAGCAGTATAACTGCAACTGCAACCTCTGATCTTTTGTCTACAAGCCTCTTAAGAAAAACTGAGAGGCATATCAGAATCTTGATTTAAAAAAAAATTAAAAAGCAAACATTTGATTAATATCTAGTAATGGTAAGAAAATGACAGCATCAATATGCACAATGTAGCCAGCTGCTTAGAAGAGAATTACAAAGACATAATAGAGAAGTCTAAAGTATTCTTGGTGTCATAGAAGATACTATCACTCAGAAAAACCACAAATACCAACTTGAAACAAGTAGTGTAACAGGCTAGACTCTAAATATAATTGATTTTAGGGAATACCTTAATTTACACTGTATTTCAAGAAAAGATACTCATTTAAGACCTCTGTTTAAATAACCAGAGACCATTCAATAAGTATAAAACTCTATAAATGATTAAAGATAGTGTCATGGCTTATTTTTTCCCCTTAATGTGAGTATCATGTACACTGCAACTAACAGTGGTTTGGTAAATAAGGTTATCTAAAATCAAACCTCTATAATGAGAGTCACGACACTCTTGCTCTGGTAACAGTCACCACACTTTCACTTTTCTTCAAATAAAGCAGGCACGCTGTGCTCCAACACCTCTAACTTCCCATCTCTTGGAACACTCATGCTCTACACATCTACTTACTTAGCTAACTCCCAACTCCCTACCTGCATCCAGCAACTCAAGTTGTGCTCTGAATGAAAATGAGCAGCTTACCAACAGTGTCCTGCTTTTGGGACTTCCATGCCATATTTGTTCCTTCTTTCATAAATACTTAAAATCTTTTAAAATACATTATAATTTACTGTTTTTGGTTTTTTCTTGTACTACTCTTCATGTTCCTAGCTGGGATACTGTAAACTACAAAAGAACAGAAATCTTTACTACCTGGTCTTTCAAATGATAAATCTAAGCACAAAACCTGACACTTGGCAGGCCTAAATACATACTAGACAAACAAGAATTGTTACAAAGTCATTTGCCAAAGAAACATATTTTGAATGCACAGTGAAAATAAAAATTATTTTAGGGGTCAGGGTATAGCAGTCACAAAAATGCAAGGTCTGGAGTTCAATCTCTAAAACAAAATCATTGTTTTAGATAATTCTGATTTACTTTGTGTAGCAGGATACAGTGCAATCTGAAGCTAAACTTCTTAATTCTTAAGGTCCACACCAAGTAATAAAGATCTTTATTCTACATATGGCATGTGGCACATAAACAATACGAATACAACTGTGTTTTAAATAGCCCAGATCTACTTTTTCTTTTCTTTTTTTTTCAAGGAGTGGGCAGTATATAGGTGAAACACATCTCATCCCTTTTTGCTTGTTTTTTTTTGGTCAATTCTGGGTCTTAAATGCAGGGCCTAGGCACTATCACTGATCTTTTTTTGCTCAAGACTAGTACTCTACTATTTGAGCCACAGCTCTACATCTGGCTTAGATGGCTAATGGAGATAAGTAAGAGTCTCATAGATCTCTTTGCCCTGGCTGACTTTAAACCAGGATCCTTAGGTGATTTCTGCCTTTTGAGTAGATAGGATAACAAGTATGAGCCACCAGTGCCAGGCTTGCTCAGGTTATTCTAATAGGATCTCAATTTTTGCCTGGACTGACATGGACCCGAATCCTCTTAACTATCTGCTTCTGCACCACTGCACCCAGTTTTGTTTTATTTTGTTAATTGTTTGAGATGAGGTTTTTGCAAATGTTTTGCCTAGGCTAAACTCAACTACAATCCTCTAATCTCAGTCTCCCAAGTATCTAGCATTACAGCACTCTCCAGTTCTACTTTCTTTATACAGTTCTCTTAATCAAAAAAGGAAAAAAAAAAAAACTGCTTTAAAAAGTGATGTCTTACCGGTAAGTCGGTGAAAGCAATACCTAAAAAGGAAACAGAATGGCATTAGAAGCTGTTTTTCAAAAGCAAATAATAGTGACAAGCTGAATATATGTAACTAAACAGAAAGGATAAAAATATCAGAAGAATCAAAAATTGAAGCTTAAATATTTAAAAAAACAAACCAGAACTGATTTTTCTCAGTAACACTAATGGCTATCTGGGTGAATGCTGTCCCACTGAAGATAGCAGCTTTGTAGGTCACATACACATTTTATTTTTGAGAGGCTATCATCACCTCCAGGATTTTTTTTTTAATGGTTTTAGATTTATCTTAAAAGCTACAAGAGGAACACATAAGAAAACTGGTTGCAAAATCGTTGCATGGTTTTCTTATCCTCAAACTGTGCTATTATTACCCACATTTGTCAACTTACCTAAACTAGCTTTAAAGTAACTGTAGGTGGAAGGAAAAGAAGAGACATTTTGTTTTAAAAGATAAATAAGGACAGGTATAGTACTTGTTCCTTAAAAAAAATTATTTCTTAGATATTTTAAAATAATTATTGACTACTGCAGAAAAAAATCAAATCCTCCTACAAAAGATAAAGATTTTCCCATTGAGAATTTCTCTGGGAAGTGGCGCTGTGGCTCAAGGGGTAGGGCGCTTGCCTTGAGCTGACGAGCACAGGGACAGAGTCCAAGCCCAGAGTTTAAGCCCCACGACCGACTAAAAAAAAAAAAAGAGAGAGAGAGAGAGAGAGAATTGATCTGGAACATCCTAGTCATTTGAACAAAAACCTGTTCCAACAGAACTAGAGCAATACTATTGGAGTAAGTCTACTGGCACCCAAAGTGATGGTTCAATAATGTCCCTTTAAGTATCCAAATATATCACTTAACTGAGAATAATAAACAAGTACCTTTCTGAAATGAGTCGCTAACTTCTTTTTTTTTTCTGGTCCTAGGGCTTGAACTCAGGGCTTGAGCTTTGTCCCTGAGCTTCTCTTGTGCTGAAGGCTAGCACTTTACTACTTGAGCCACAGCTCCACTTCTGGCCCCCCCCCCCGTTTATGTTGTACTGAGGAATAAAACTCAGGGCTTCATGAATGCTAGACAAGCTCTCTACCACTAAGCCACCTTCCCAGCCTCCACTAGTTTTAAATGATTAAATTCTAGAGTTATGAGAGTGATGAGGACACACAGTGAACCATTCAATTCTTCCAGTCTTTACATTAAAAAACCACCCAGCACAAGCACCAGCACCTTCAGCCTTGAAGACAGCTTGAACATAAACTCCTGACTCTACTTACTAAACAACAAAGTTAAAAGATACTAAATATAAATTTTAAGCAGTTAAACAACACCCCTCATCTGAATATCTGAAAGCAAAAACTCTTGGAACACCAGCTTGAGGCCACAAATGTTAAGACTCCCATCTGATCCATGTTAGGATCCCACTCAAAACAAAGGTATACTAAAACATAGTATCAATTACTTTAGGTTCTGAGTAGAGGTATACATGAACTATGAACAATTTTGTGTTTACGCTTGGATTCTATCCTTACGGTAATTCTGCACATCTATATACTCAACTTGTATATGTGTTTAAATATAAAAGTAATGTTTTCAAGTTTAGTAAAGCCTTTCACTTTTACAAACTAGTAAATTCAATTTAATTTGTCAAAAGAAAGCAAAACTAAAATTATTTTTCTAATCTTCATCACTCTTGTAACTCTAGAATTTAATCATTTCAAACTAGTGGGGGCTGGGAAGGTGGCTTAGTGATAGAGTGCTTGTCTAGATGCATGAAGAATTCTGTTACATTTAGTTTCATTTAAAGTAACCATAAGGGCTGAGCACCAACTGCTCACACCTGTAATCCTAGCTACTCAGGAAGCTGAGATGGAGGAACAGGGTTTAAAGAAAACCCAGGCAGGAAAGTCTGTGAGACTTTCATCTCCAATAAATTACTCACAAAAAGGCCAGAAGTGGCACTGTGGCTCAAGTAGTAGAGTGACAGCCTTGAGCACAAGGAGGCTCAAGGACAGCACCTAAGCCCTGAATTCAAACCCCAGGACTGGCAAAAATAAATAGGCAAAGTAACCATAAACCAAACTGTGAGCAAACTTCATTCTGAAAATTTTCAGAAAACTAAATATAGAAAACAGTATTTTAACAAAATGACTATATACTATTTTTATCTTTTTGTAATATAGCCTAATTACTTTTCTCAAAGATATATTCTAAATTTAGATGTTTTAGAATTCTACAATAGAATATTCTAAATTTATACTGTTTTAGCAAAAATTCTCATCAGTTATTACTGAAGTTTTCACTTTATCAAAAACTTAATAAATTCCAGGTTAGTCTCATGGAAGTTACCAGACTCAGCTTTCACAATCTATGATTCAAACCATAAAAAGATGCCCCTTTAGCACACACACACACATTTTCTGAATATGTGAGATGTAAAGGATAGAAAGGGGGGAGAATGATGGAAGAATACTGATCAAGATGCATTGTACATAGTAACAGACATACTAAATTTAAATCCCTTGTACAACTCCTTGAAGATAACAAAGAAAAAATAAAACAGTTAATAATAAAATGGTTTTATAAATAAACACAAATAATAGTTAAAGCCCAATTTATGTTGTTCTGTGCATGCTGATGTGCTATTATATGAAGCAAAGAGGCAGGATACCCACCCAACTCCCTCAAATGAAAAAAGATTGCTCTTATCAGACAATAATTCAGATCTGAGAAATAAAAGGATTAAGCTGTGGCAGGTTCTCTATTTGTAATTTCCTGGTTTGTCAAGGTTTCTGAAATGTGATGAAATGATAGTCAATGAAGTTAAAAATGCAAACTAAGCCTACCTATACACTGAAATGTTTCTCCCTTTTTATGTGGCAATCAAATATATACATTTTTAAAGCCCTATATGAGACAGAAACTGAAATGTTTTGGGTAAAATTGCCCCATTTGAGAAACATAACTGAATAAACCCTTAGTAGCAGTGTATCTTCTAGATGCTACTATCCAGACCAGAGACATGCAAACTTTTCCTGTAAAGCGCCTGCTTTCCAGAACACAGTCTTTGTTACCACTATCAACTCTATACAGGAAAGTAGTCACAAACACGATTGTGACTATGTTCCAAGGAATCTTAGACAATAGGCAGTTTTAGCTATAGCTTTAGAGAAGCACTATCATTTCTTCTTAGTTTTATTTCTTTAAGTTTGCTCCCTGACACTGAACTATCCACTATTCTCTAGACACCAGGCTAAGCAGTCTTTCTAGGTCAATACCTTTAATTTTCTGTGCTTGGACACTTCTCTCCACATGTTTCTGATCACCATAATACCTTTACCTAGAGAACTAGATCATATTATACAATGTTATAATCCAGCAAAATTTTATTGAAGCGAAGTACTTTGCATTCCTATTGCCAGAATAAATATCTCAGGGATTATTTCTATCATCAATCTTATACATATTTATATAAAGCTGCCTTCACAGAATGTAAGTCTTATTTCTTAAAGAAACAATCTCTAGAGATAAATACAAAGGAGAATCACATAATAAACATGACTACCATGGCAAAAGTTATTTTGCATACATCGTTCTCAGTACCTAAACTATGTCCATTCTTGGTGTAAAAGCAGGTGTTGTTGATAAGGTTAACACAACAGCCAATGACATCGCCAGTTGTAAAAGTTGGTCCATAAGGTTGTCCGGTTCCAGAAGAACAAAATGAATGTCCATCATCCCCATGGTAACCATATGAATGTTTATCCCAACCTGAAGAGAAAGGTCCAGTGTATTTACATTGTAAAGTAAGGCTCCTCAGTAATACATTTATTTGCTAACTTATGTAAGATAAGCCAGAATAGTCCAAGATATAATATAATATGAACAGAAAATTTCCAAATGTACATTTACACTACATAATTACTTTATATTAAAATACCATTTACAACTTCAGAAAAATAAATTAACCAAACAAAAGACTAAAGTATTAAACAGAAAGGAATTCTACCAAAAATTGTAAACATATAGGCAATACCCACAGCAGGATGTTTTCCATGCATGTTTCTTATGCTAATACACCAAATGAATTTTGCTCTAATTTGAATCTCTATCTACAAACACACCACAGAATAAAAGATTTTATCTTATTCAATTACTGCAAGCTTTTCAAGCCAGTGATCCAAATACAAGTCAGACAATGTATGATCTTACCACAATACCGAACTACAGACATTCTATACCACTATTAAAAAATTATCAACACATATCTTATCAATTTACTCCTAATCTTTTTTTTTTCCGGTCGTGGGGCTTGAATTCTGGGCTTGGGTGCTGTCCCTGGGCTCTTCAGCTCAAGGCAAGCGCTCTACCACTTGAGCCACAGTGCCACTTCCGGTTTTCTAGTGGTTTATTGGAGATAAGAGTCTCACAGACTTTCCTGCCCCGGCTGGCTTTGAACCATAATCCTCAGATCTCAGCCTCCTGAGTAGCTAGGATTACAGGCATGAGCCACCGGCGCCGGGCTTCAATTTACTTCTAAAGGAAATTTTTAAATAAAATCCTAGCTCTCAAGTATAATTTTAAGAAAAAAGACACAAGGAAATTTTGTATCAATTCAACACATCTGTTTACTGTTAGATAACACCGTTATACTACTTTGGTGTACTTCTCTCTTCATTTTTTAAATTGAATCGAGACTTACATTGGTTAGCTAGACAAGAGCTCTTATACTGGAGCCGCCCCCCCCTCCCCCCCCCCCCCCCCGCAGTCCTGGTTTCCCTGTTTCTCTGGTATTTAATTAATTTTATTTATTTTTTTAGAATACTGGGGTTTGAACTCCAGGGCTTTCTACTTAGTAAGCAGGTGCTCTTGAACCGTATCTCTAGCTCATTCTGTTCAGTCTCGCTTTATGGCCAAGCCAGAATGCCATGACTCACAAATTTACACTTGCTACCACAGCTAGGATGACAGATGAAAGCCACTAGACCCCCAGATGGAATCTTGCAAACTTTTTGCCTTGGCTGGCTTTGAACTATGATGCTCCTAATTGCCAACTCCTAGCTAGGTTTATAGGGTGAGCCACCACTGCCTGCCTGTTTCTTATTTCAAGGCACCTTATGTTTCTTGTTTGTTTTTTGCCAATCCTGGGGCCTGAACTCAGGGCCTGGGCACTGTCCCTGACCTTTTTTTTTTTTTTTGCAGGGGCGGGGGGGGGGGGGGGTCTGGTCGTGGGGCCTGAACTCTGGGCCTGGGCGCTGTCCCTCAGCTCTTCAGCTCAAGGCTAGCACTCTACCACTTGAGCCACAGCACCACTTCCGGCTTTTTCGAACCCAGGGCCTCAGGCATGCAAAGCAAGTGCTATATCACTGAGCCACCTTCCCAGCCCTGTCCCTGAACTTTTTTTGCTCAAGACTAGCACTCTACCACTTGAACCACAGCACCACTTCTGGCATTTCTGTTTATGTGGTACTGAGGAATCAAACCTAGGGCTTCATGCATGATAGGCAAGTATTCAACCACTAAGCCACCTCCCCTGCCCCCTTCATATTGTTTTAAATTGGTCATTTTCCAAAAGTTCTCCACCAACTTTTAACACTGAGAAATAGTATTAAGAAATAGTTCTGGCATTCCAAATCCTACCTTCCTTAGACTCACTTTTAATAATGGCAGTATTAGTCTACTACTTCTCATGAAAAAGGAATGGAATGGGTAGTAAACCAGTCACATTAAAATACTTCAAGTAGCTGCCAAGCATTAGTAGTATCAGCTCATGCCTATATTCCTAGCTACTCAGGTGTTTGAGACCTGGAGGAAGTTTGAAACCAGCTCAGAGAGAAAAGTAGTTGAGAGTCTATCTCCAATTATTCAGCAAAGTGTTGGACTGAAGAAGTGGCTCAACTGGTAAAGCACTAGTGTGAACAAAAAAATTGAGTAAGAGCTCAAAGCTCTGAGTTCAAACCCCAATACCTGCAAACACACATTCCTCCCACACATACTTGTAAAAAAAAAAAACATTTAAAGTAGCTGATGTGAGTATATGTTTAAATTGTAGATATTTAAATGCCAAAACACAAAAGAAATGTTAAAAAAAAGTATATATACCATGTTAAGTTTTGCTAAAGAGCATTATATTAAATTGGAAAATATTCTTGTTTTGTTCAGGGAATCTTTGTCCATACATTTGGAAAACTGGGGAACCAAGTTATTCAAAATGAAATAAAATGTTTTCCTACGGAAGAAAAACCCTCCATATTTCTACTTAGAATTCCTAATATAGGTGATTAAAAATGTTAAAACTTAGTACCTATATTTTGATTACCTGAAAATTTTAATCAAACAGAGCTAGTCATCAGACTACAACAGTTAACAATTGTAAGTGTACCTGGTAGTCTATTCATGTTCACACCTTGAGCAGAAAGACCAATTCCCATGTAACTGTTAAGGGGGGAAAAAAGAGAAATGCAGATTGTTATAGTCATGTACATGAAAATTACTAAACATTCTCAAACATTATCAGAACCAAGATGAAACTCCTGTGCAACTGCAAGAAATGCTATTACAATTTATTACATAGCTACTACTGGCATTATTAAATACTTTTTGCACAGACTCTCAGTAAACTCCTTTAGTAGTCACTCATAAATACACCCAAAGTCTTAGTAACTTATAGATATTTTACGTGTGTGTGTGTGTGTGTGTGTGTGTGTGTGTGTCATGGGGCTTGAACTCTGGGCCTGGGCACTGTCCCTCAGCTCTTCAGCTCAAGGCAAGAGCTCTACCACTTTAACCACAGCACCACTTTGGTTTTCTTAACTGGTGGTGACTGGCTTTGAACCACGATCCTCAGATCTCAGCCTCCTGAGTAGCTAGTCTTACAGGCATGATGAGCCACTGGCACCCAACTATTTTACTGTTTTTAAATACTATAATTTTACTCTATACAAGTCTACCTTCTCTACAAATAATTATTTAGGATACAACTTCTCAAAACAACTATCAGTAAACTTGTGAGGGAAATAAATGTTAAATAAGACAAAAATATTTCCAAAAGGACACAGTGAAAATTTAGTCCACTCAAATGGGAGATGCAAATTCATACTGAAATATACAAAATGTATACAAAAACATCTGAAATAGGTAACAAAATTATACTGAAAAATGTAGACCTTAGATTTTCTAAAAGCTGGGTAAATAAAGTCTACCTAAACAAAGGACTCTTAATTACTAATTTATTTATTTTTGCCAGTCCTGGGGCTTGAACTCAGGACCTGGGCTTCTTTTACTCAAGGCTAGCACTCTTACCACTTGAGCGACAGGGCCACTTCCACTTTTTTTTTGTTTATGTGGTACTGAGGAATCAAACCTGGGATTTCATCTATTACTTACTAATTTATAAAATTACAACAAAATAATCTCCAAAAAGATAAATACATAAGGTAGTTAATGATTAAAGTTAATGAACACTTTCAAAAGCATATAAAGCACTAAACTTAAAATTAAATGAAAGAATCAGATCAACAGAACCAAGATCAAGAACCACATGATTATCTCCATGGATGCAGAAAAGGCTTTTGATAAACTACAACACCCATTCATGTTAAAAGCTCTGGAGAAAATAGGAATAGAAGGAACATTCATTAAAACAATAAAAGCCATATATGACAGACCAATAGCCAATACTATATTAAACAGGGTAAAACTACAACCAATTCACCTAAAATCAGGAACAAGGCAAGGATGCCCACTATCTCCGTTCCTCTTCAATATAGTTCTGGAATCCTTAGCCAGAGCAATAGGCAAGAAAAGGACATTAAAGGAATTCACATAGGGAAGGAAGAAATTAAACTAGCCCTATTTGCAGATGACATGATATTATACCTCAGCAACCCCAAAAACTCCACTCCCAAATTCCTAGAACTTAAAAACCACTTCGGCAAAGTAGCAGGATACAAAATTAACCCACAGAAATCAATTGCCTTTCTGTACACCAACAATGTACAAGCAGAAAAGGAAATCAAAAATCCCCCCCAAAAAATAAAATCTAGGAATTAACCTAATCAAAGAAGTAAAGGACCTATTTAGTGAAAACTATAAAAACCTAAAGAAAGAAATCAAAGAGGACACCAGGAAATGGAAAGTCCTTCCATGTTCTTGGATAGGCAGAATCAATATTGTGAAAATGGCCATACTGCCAAAAACGATATACAAATTCAATGCAATTCCCACCAAAATCCCAATGATGTTCTTTACTGAAATAGAGAAAACAATCCTAAAATTCACATAGAACAACAAAAGAGCTAGAATAGCCAAAGCAATTCTAGGCAAAAGAAGCAATGCAGGAGGGAGCAGGACACCACATTTCAAGCTCTACTACAGAGCCATAACAAGGACAGCTGGGTATTGGCACAGAACAGTCCCAAAGACCAGTGGAACAGATTAGAAGATCCACAAATAAAATTACATACCTACACTCAGCTGATATTTGACAAAGGAGCCAAAGACATACAGTGGAAGAAACATAGCCTCTTCGACTATTGGTGCTGAGAAAACTGGGCGGCTGAGAAAACTAAAAGTGACCCCAGCCTATCACCATGCACTAACATCAACTCAAAATTGATTAAAGAAAGACCTTAACATCAAACCTGAAACTCTGAAATTACTGCAGGACAGAGTAGGAGAGACACTTGAACTTACAGGCACAGCAGGAGCTTCCTGAACAGAGAGAGTCCCAGGGTTACAACAAATTGGGAGAGAGACAAAAAATGGGACTACCTTAAAATAAAAAGTTTCTGCACAGCTAAAGACATAACTGCCAAACTAGAAAGACAACCAATTGAGAAAAAATATTTACCAGCAACATTATCAGACAAAGGCCTAATAGCCACGATATACAGGGAACTCAAGAAACTAATCCCTCACAAATCTAACAAACCAGCCACGATATACAGGGAACTCAAGAAACTAATCCCTCACAAATCTAACAAACCAATCATGAAATGGGCAAGGGAACTAAAAAGACACTTCTCAGAAGAAGAGATAAAAATGGCAAAGAAACACATGAAGAAATGTTCATCATCTCTAGGCATAAAGGGAATGCAAATAAAAACAACCCTGAGATACAACCTTTACCCACATCCTAAATTCAGCCAACGACAAATGCTGGTGGGTATGCGGAAAAAGAGGAACCCTATTGTATTGCTGGTGGAAATGTACACTAATACAACCACTTTGAAAAGCCATCTGAAGATACCTCAGAAAGCTAAATATAGACCTCCCCTATGACAGAGCCATACCACTCCTAGGCATCTACCCTAACAACAGGAACCAGAATACAAGGACTCCATGTTCATTGTGGCATTGTTCACAATAGCCAAGATATGGAAACAACCCAGATGCCCCACTACAGATGAATGGATCCAAAAATTGTGGTAGCTATACAATGGAACATTATACAGCCATTAGAAATGATTAATAGCATTTGCAAGGAAATGGATGGAACTAGAGCAAATCATTTTGAGCGAGGTAAGCCAAGATCAGAGAGACAAATGGCACACGGTCCTCCCTGATATGTGGATGTTAAATCCAAAATGCAAGGAGATATGACAAAGTAAATGGGACGTAAGAAACAAAGGACATCTACATAATTTGTCATAATTTCTAAATGACTCCATGACCTCATATATGGTATACATATGTGCACATCTGAGGGAAGCTAGGATAAAGGCACAGAATCAGAGGGAAACAAGAAAAAATAAAACAGAGGGGCCCATTAGCTCCACTGGACACTGATGAAAATGAACTAAGCAACTCAAGGGCAGCAAAGGGAGGGAGGGAATGAGAGGGAAAGACAGACAGCTAACACTAAGCAAAAGGAAATATACATATCACCCAACATGGAAGAAATAGTTGTATGGTCAAAGCTTATAGAATTCACAAACTTTATAGACAAAGATAATGACAATTTGCCTTGTGAAGGTTAAAATGTGTTTGTGACTTTTAAGTATCACTATCCTACAATACTGTGAAATCTGTGATATTTATATAATGTAATCACTTAATCTCAATAAAAAATATTTTGAGAAAACTAAATGAAGGGGCTGAGAAGGTGGCTCAGTGGTAGAGCCCTTGCCTTGCATGCGTGAGGCCCTGGGTTCAATTCCTCAGCACCACATAAGCAAAAAGAAAAAAGCCGGAAGTGGTGTGCTGTGGCTCAAGTGGTAGAGCGCTAGCCTTGAGCTGAAGAGCTGAGGGACAGCGTCCAGCCCCAGAGTTCAGGCCCCACGGCCGGACCCCCCAAAAAAAAACTAAATGAAAGAGAAAATTGAGTATAGCTTATTAAAAGCCTCAGTGGCCATATTAGTATCAAAATTTACAATAGCACCTGAAAAAGTTGTTACTATTTCTTATAAAAACCCTAGTATAGGGGCTGGGAAGGTGGCTCAGTGGTAGAGTGCTTGCCTTGCATGCATGAGGCCCTGGGTTCGATTCCTCAGCACCACATAAGCAAAAAGAAAAAAGCCGGAAGTGGTGCTGTGGCTCCAGTGGTAGAGCGCTAGCCTTGAGCTGAAGAGCTGAGGGACAGCGCCCAGGCCCAGAGTTCAGGCCCCATGACTGAACCCAAAAAAAAAAAAAACCCTAGTATATTGGGGCTGGCTCAGTGGTAGAGTGCTTGCCTTGCATGCATGAGGCCCTGGGTTCGATTCCTCAGCACCACATAAGCAGAAAAAGCTGGAAGTGGTGCGCGCTTCGGCAGCACATATACTAAAAATTGAAACGATACAGAGAAGATTAGCATGGCCCCTGCGCAAGGATGACATGCAAATTCGTGAAGCGTTCCATATTTTTTGACATTGCCCCATTTGTTAGGAAATAGAAAGACTTGAAAAAAATTATATTAAATGAAGTAAGCCAAGCCCAAAGAAACATAGGTCCCATGGTTTCCCTTATTTGCAATATCTAATATATGTATGAGTCAAGCAGGAAAGGTCAGATAAGGTGATGTTAGGAAAATGAACCCTAAGATATGTATTCGAATGTTTTTTTTTCTTTCATGCATTTCTTTCTAACGCATTTATAAGATTATTTTTTTGTTGCTTTGTATGTCCCTCCCCCACAGTATAACCCCTGCTTTCACTGTATTTGATGTCGGTATAATTTGTGGAGGGGAAGGGGAAAAACAAGTTGTTTAAATAAGAATACAGGTGGACCCGCTGCAGCCATGAGAAGTACAAGTTGTCATGTCAAAAATGAACTTTACAACTTTGGTGTGGAAGGGGGGAAAGGATTGGGGGGGGGCAGGGCAAGGCTGGGAAGGGGAAACAAAGGAGGAGGATACAATGCTTGATAAGAAATGTACTCATGGGCTGGGAAGGTGGCTAAGTGGAAGAGCGCTTGCCTTGCATGCATGAGGCCCTGGGTTCAAAAGTTGATGTTAG